AATGTGTTTCTGGCATCAAATTCAAAATGGTTATATATTTTTCAAGAAACAAGAAAATGTCTCAGTTTCAACATTTGATATGTTGTGTTTGTACTATTTTCCATTAAATATAAGTTTTAAATGATATGAACATCATTGCATCCCAATTTTCTTGGACATGGTATTGTATAGTGCATGTTAAAGTACATATAAAATAACTCTAAGTAATTTTGGAGGATTTGGGCTGGTGTGTTTGTCATTAAATGTTCACATAATGTAAAAGATGGCTGGCTGGTGTAAACAAAATGACACCAGTAATATACTAGAATTATATATAGTATATATATAGAATATAGAATATTAGAATTATGATTATTTCAGTATTATATATTGTTGTGTTATATAAATATTGCTAATATGTTCTAGCATATTCCTATGTTAAAAGTTGTATTACCTTTTCATACTTTTTATATTGATTGCATTATCAGATGAAATACTGACTGTGATGGTCATCCATCCATGGCATTGTCCATTATGGTATGAATGGGCCATGGGGTTTTCAGGATCTGGGTGTCAGTCTGAACCTATTACCATAAGTTGATGCTCCAAAGCTGGAGGCCAACTGAAGTTGAAAGGAGCTTCTCAGGATTTCAATGGGAAGTTGTGAGTACTACTCTATTAAGTCAACCCCTAGGGGCCTGGGAAGGGATGAAGTCCACCTCTTCATATCATCTATCCTTTTTGCATTCCTTTTCTCTGCTTTTGTCCTGTGAGGATCTATCATGTTCGCCCCCTTGGCCTGATAATGTTAATTATTAGATAGACACAAGCACATGTGCACACTCTGGAGTGTATGTATAGCAGTCTTGTGCTAATTGTGTGTTAAGCTATACTCACACACGGAGGATGTTAAATGACTGTTTAAATTTCAGTGCACACACAATGATCAAAGGCTTATAATTCCCCTTTTCAAACATATTTGCTTAATGGCTTTGCTTGCATTTGTGTATTCAAACATTGCAGCTTTATCCTTCCTAAGAGCACTGATAGACAGAGCCTAAGCCAGTGCAGTTTTTCACTGCCTCACTACACAGTTTATTTCTAGAAATATCTCTCAAAACACATAATGAGTGAAAATAAAGTTCTTTATTTGCTATGTAGTTCTATGAGTTCATCCCTGTCTAAAGAGCTGTTGTAAAAATAAGACTGGGTCTGTTATCCAGTTTTGTATGATTTTGAGGTTGACAGTTTGTAGTGAGCAGAACTGCCACTCGATAATGTCGGTCATACGCTAGAGGGCATAGAGAGTAAAAATGGGTTCCCATGGATTTTTTGTCATTTGTAAATCCTTTTTATGCATTCACCTGATTTCTCAACACAGAACAGCATAAAGTTTCAACTCCGCTGTCTATTTTTGAATGCTTCTCCATTTATCAGGGGCATTGCCTGGCCTGGGCTTTCAGGGCTGTAGCCCTGAATATTTTTAACCTGTCCCAAACCTTAGAATATTAACATTCCACACACACACCCCCTGACCCAATTACACACCATTCTTGTCATCCATAATTTTATTCAGGGGTGCATTCACCCACTCTTCTAACGCAGAGATAGAGAGAAAGACTCTAACCCTACGTTCACACCGGCAGAGACTTTTCGCCTCTTGTTGCCCAAATGATTGCTGGCTATGTGCGATGAATGCACTGCCGCCATTATTCCACCTGTAGTCGGAACAATTATCTAGGAACCAATATAGATCGTATCGTTTCACATTTGCGGAGATAAAGCACGTACTATGCTGCTCAATGCTCAATTCCTATTGGTAATCGCCACATTGCTTCGCTCCTTATTTGCATAACCCTGCATTAACACCGGCGGCCGGAGGTCGTTCATTCATTTTCCATGAGAGCTGGCGATTTCCGGCGACAGGAAGCGGCGCAAACATTGGTGATGTGAAGTGGGCGGAGTCTGCGACGCGACAAAGTTGAGCGGAGTTCAACTTTACGCAAATAAGGAGCGAAGCGATGTGGCGATTATTTAATTCATTTATTTATTTATTTTTTATTTGAAGCGTATAACCACATATATACAAACAAGTACAACAAAAGAATGCAAAACAACATTCACATCCCAGAATAAACAAAATGAAAAAAGAAAAAAGAAAAACAAAAGCAAAAAAGATGACGTATGAAGGTATTTTTTCTGGCAAATTTCACCTTACGTATATACAATTTAGCTTTTATTATGATCGGGTTTATTATAAAACGTTCATCAGGGTTAAACAGAAGGTCATCAAAAAGATATAAAACATAGTGGCTTTTGAGGGGGGTTCTTTCCCAATCTTTCTCCTCAGGCCTAAAAAGAGATCAATGCAGAACGAATAAGAAAATACACAATAAAAAAATAAGTGTTCAATGAACGCGTTAGCCCCTTTACAAAAAGTACATGCATCACTTATGTTGAAAAATTTACTCAACATACCATTGACAGGGTAGCATCTATGCAATATTTTATAAACGTTTTATTTTGTTATTAGGAACATATTTATAGGGGAGAGTCCAAATTGAACGGCTGTTCTGCCTTTGTTGAGTTGACCACTGTAATGTTGCTAATGGAATAAATTTACGCGATAAAAAGCAATAAAAGCAGCCTTGTAAAATTATTGTTACACTTCTTATCTATTATATCAATATTTATTATCTATTATATCACATATCCTCTTAAATTCTGTAATTGAACTAATAATACCAAATTTATTGCAAAAGTCAGAGTTGGAAATAAAATGATGATTATCATCAAGTAATCGGTTAATCAACAAAATGTTATCAAATCACAGAGATCAGTGTGAGAACAGTGACGTTCCCTTATAGAAAATGTGTTCATTGTTCCAAATTAAAGACTGATGAGTTGAAAAAATATGTTTGTAAATTAATAACCAATATAACAGAGATTGTCTGTGAAAGGCTAATAGTTTTATGGGGGTAGATTATTAATAGTGTAAGGGCACATAAGCACAAATTTTAATCCACCAACATTCCTTAAGAGAAAGTTAGGTATACAATTCCACATACTCACAAGACTTTTGAGGAGTCTTCTAATCCAGCTAATGTTAACAGTTTGGGTGAGTGTGGTGAAGTCCAGAACATTCCACCAGAAAAATCCATTATCTGCTATTCTATTTTTAATACATCCATTCTTACTTTGTGAGATTTATTTCTCCAAATGAAATTGAACCATTTTTGTCTAATTGCATAATTTCTGTGCTTCTAAGGCAGAAAACACATAAGCAGCTCTGAAGAGCCCCTCTGCTTTGCTCAATAAAACATGACCTTAAATGGATAACTCTCTGGTCAGCCAAATGTTAAAACTCTTCTGTATACTGTTAATTATGGGAGTTTAATTTAAATCATTCATATTTTTAAGATCTTTAGTAATTTTAATACTGAGGTAAGAGAAAACATTTTTGACTGGAATATTACATATGAAGTTAAAGTCACATTTGTTTAAAGGAAGGAGCTCACATTTTTTAAGATTAATATTTAAACCAGAGAAGTTTGAAAATGATTGAACTGCATGTAGGGCTTTAGAAACTTCAACTTTATTCTTAAGAAATAAGGCTGTGTCATCAGCTAATTGTGAGATTTTGATTTACATATCACCAATACTGATGCCTCTGAAAGAACTTTGTTCTATTAGCAGGCAAAGAATTTGAGAGGAAAGGAGGAAAAGTAAAGGACTAACTGGAAATCTCTGACATATACCTCTATTTACACAAAATCTAGGTGAGATACCATAAGCAAGTTTCACTGAGCTATTCATACCATTATATAAAGTTTTAACCATATTAACAAAAGATCTGGCCCAGATAAAAAAAGCAAAGTATCAAAAATAGATTTGTGGCTGATTGTGGCAAAAGCCTTGTGAAAATCAAGAAATAAAGTAAAAGGGTTACCTTATAAGATTTCACAATAATCAATGAGGTCCAGGTTTCTTTTATCTTCAGTCTTCTTATCAAACTATTTTGCACCTTTCTTTTCTTAAGGCCAAAGAAATATCTACTATTCTTTTTTCCTTCCTCCATTTATCTCTGTCTAGAACGTATGAAAGCACCTCCTGCTGTCTCCTTATAAATGTCATCTAGTTCAGATTGTAAACCTTCAAGTTCTGTATTATCAGTCATTTTTTCTCCTCTGGTCTTTGTGAATAACTAAAAGTCTCTGCATTATGTTCTGTATTCTTACTTTTTTCTTAAAAGGTGAGCTTCTTTCCTTTCCTAACTGCTAGACATCGAATGTCATATTTTAATAGCTCCCAATTTTCCCCTATTCTTTACTGCAGAATACTTTTAACCATGATTATTTAATGATTATTAGAGATTATTCAATTTCCAATATGTCCCATATTGTAATTTAGATGGTATGATGATATTTTAACATTCTTAATTTTTATTTTCTTTCGAAACAAGCCACTCATCAATTCTAGATTGGAATCCTTATTATTCCAGGTAAATTGTTTTAATTCAGGATGTTTTGCCCTCCAAAGGTCTGACAGGTCTAAATTAAATTAGCGCGCTACTTTTTATAATAAGCTACACATTTTTGTAGCTAATAGCTGTAGCCGCTACAGTTTTATGAAATGTAGCTAATAGCTGTAGTGCCTACAAATTTTTGTGTAGCTACACCGATAATTTTCACCACAATTTCGCTACAGGTTTCAGCCAATCCGCGCAAAATCTGAACCATAGAACGCAGTCATTAACTGGCTGGTGGCCATGGTGCAACCCAGACTGAGCCGCGGACAACCGGTCACGCGCGGGTCCTACGCGCTGATCACCCCTTACTAGTAAGGGGTCGGCAACCGAAATGTTAAAAAGAGCCATTTTGTCCTTTCAACAAAAATGAAACCACCTTGGGAGCCACAACATTTTATGTCCGTTTTATCACCTTGGCTGTAAGTCTCAGTGTGTGTTCTAGTTCAGGCTAAAAATATAATATAAACGAAAATGCAGACTTACTTTGCTCTGCTTTAACCTTTCACTATAGCCGAGTCGCTTCTCATTCTCCAGCTTCTCGTTTGAAACCTCCCGTTCCACCTTATATGGTGCCCAAGGAGAATGTTCTGGAGCGCCACTTAAAGCCCAAAGAGTAGAGTCTGTTCACACCCTTTGGAAGAAATACTGCATAAGCAGGTGTCTACAAACCTTTGGACATATGCTGTACATTTGGAGTTATAGAATTTTATGTCATTGTCCTATTTACCATTTTAGAGTTATGAGATCCTGTTACAAAAGTAGTGATTTAATAAAATGATTTTATGAGGCCAAAAAAATGGTTAACAGTTTTTTGTAACAACTGGTTAATTCAGTAAAATACATTTAATAATTTTTACTGATTTATTACAATCATCACATACTATACGCTGTTAGAAATAAAGGTTCTGTGCAGGTACATTTTTCATCCATCAATGTACAAACAATGTAAATCTACCCTCAAAGGTACAATAGTGGTTTTAAGGTCCAGTTGTGCACCTTAAATAAGTTTTTTCGAGGTGAAAAGTACATATTTGTATCTTTTCATAAACTAATGTTCTGAAACAGAACAATAAAATAAAAAGCCTGGAGACAAGACGGGGTGTGTGGAGTCAATACAGCTTGTGACAGTTTCATACCTTTATTTCTGAGAGTGTATGAATCACACTGTAGAGAGAAAGTTGTCTTTTTTCATTGTGATGTTTACTAGATAGGGGGTTGTGAGGCGGTGAATGTTGCAACACCCAAATGCATCAAACAGGACAGGCCAGAACCCCCCTCTCATTCAAAAAAGAAAGAAAAAAGGGAAAAAAAGAAAGGAGGAGGTGTCATCTAAACATCGCAGCTCAGTCAGATACTAACCTCTCTGAGGTCATGGCACAGTCTCCAAGAAGTCTCCAAGAGCTGTCATGCCACATTACCTTTCCCATCTGCCCCAGCAGCGTGAAAATTAAGTTATGCCCCATGTCAGCTAGTTTTGTCTCTCTTCCCTCCTCCACTCTCCTGGCTTCTCTCCAGGTTTTCTACACGATAGAGAAAACAGGAACTGGAACTGGTAGTGGTTGTGCTTCATTTCTTAGGCACAACCATCCTCTGCCTCTAACATTTCAGTTTCCTCTTTGCTAATTACACAAACAAACCAACAACCAAAGTTAGTATTTGACCATAAGGTCTGCAATTGTATTTATTTACCTAGATCAAGCTATAAAAGGACTTATTGATTCAGTCAAAAACTTTAACAAATTCCTCTTTTTGTAGTTTGTCTTCCACTGTTTACATTTTTTCTAATAGATAAAAGTATCTGCTAAATTAATAAATGTAAAAACCGTTAAGCACAGGAAATCCTTCTGCACTCCAAATGGAACCAAAAAGGATTCTTTGGAGAGATGGCACAGAAAAAAACACTTTCATATATGTAGAAACTTTCAGGGGATGGTTCTTTAAAATACGTCAATAAATGTGTGAATACCCTTTTTTAAGGTTAAAAACTCTTTCCTTAAACAGAGAACCCTTAATATATCATATTAAGGTCATAAGGCTAAAGTTACCAATAAAAGGTAATCCCAACAATTTTTCTAACCTTCTGCATAATTCAATCATTTAATTATAATAAACTCATTTAGAATGGTTTGATATTAAATGTGCTGCTCACAGTGGTGACAGGAAGCAGAATGACACCTAAGACATTGCTTTACAATAATTTTGAGATAAGGTTTTGGCCATAGTGAGAGATAAATGTGGGATGCGGTACGGATTTACCACTTTTTCACCATCGTCAACGTTACAACCTTCTGGATAATTCAATCATTTAATTATAATAAACTCATTTAGAATGGTTTGATATTAAATGTGCTGCTCACAGTGGTGACAGGAAGCAGAATGACACCTAAGACATTGCTTTACAATAATTTTGAGATAAGGTTTTGGCCATAGTGAGAGATAAATGTGGGATGCGGTACGGATTTACCACTTTTTCACCATCGTCAACGTTACAACCTTCTGGATAGCAAATAGAATTATTATTATTGCATCCCCTGTATCCTTATCACCACCAACGTAAAGAAAGTCAGCACAATGCGTATCTTTACAATGCACCACAGTACACCAAATTATATTATACAGTACATTTGAAAAATTCCCCATAAAATTTAAAGTTAAAGAACATTTTTCTAGAACCATATGCTCAAGTCAAGAACTATTTAGGAACTTTTCTTTTTGAGCTTTCACTGACCTTCTGAGAGGTTCTTCTAATGACCCTCCTCTCCTCCAGGTACAACTCTCGAGCCTGCTAAGCAAACCTCTTTGTGCTCCAAACTAAACCCTTTTACACAACCATGGTACATCAACACTCCCCCTCCAATGCCCTCCCTTTCTCTCTAGCTGTTCACATGTAGGGCTAGTTTGTGGCCCACAAGTGGCCCACATGGAGGAGGTGTTAAACCACATGGCACTGTGCCCACTCTTGTGGTATGTTGTTTATAGGTTTCCCACAGAGATACGCCACTCTTGCTCAACAGGAGGGTAGCATGCCCGGAAAAACATCAGCACAAAAGCAGACGGTGTTAAGTTGTGAAGTTATCAACTTTTATGGCATGGAGTTTTTAAGCTCCTACAGGCTTTCGGTTACTGACTCTTGACAGTTTCCACATTTGTAATTCCCTTTCGCCTTGAATCCCCTGCTTAAGCTCAGCTAAAACTGGAACATCCACAGTCAGATTTGTCATAAATTTAGAATTCTGAGAAATTAAGTTAGAACTAATCTTACATTTTCTGTCTTCAGCCCCCACTGTCTCTGTCAGTCCCTCCAGTCACTCAAAATCGAGGCTTGAACTGAATTAGCGGCCACATTCCTTATTTCAAAGGGCCTCGTTCTTAAAGAAAGCCACAAGTGATGGATTCAACATGGCAGGCCAGATCTGAGAAACTGCATTTGTGAAATATCCCTACCCAATTGCAGGGAGAAGGCTGTATTGATTTCAGCTCAACAATAACTGCTGTTTGAAAAAGAATGACAAGCACAAAGGTTCACTCAGGAGTCGGTCATGGTTGTGTTATGTGGAAAAATATTTGCACTTTTCTTCATTGGTTACTAAGTCAATAGGATGTTCTCAGCAATCCCCAGAAGAAAGCCATTCCTGAACTTGCTGTAAAGAAGGCAAAAGAAAGATTTTTCATAATTATTATTGTTATTATTGTTATTTCTACGTCATGTGCTGCTTTTAAACAAAAAGAAGGCTCTTTGTGCAGACATACTGAAAAACATTTTAAGATTTTTTTAGCAACCTTTATATGGTTTATGTGAGTGGGGGTGATTTTAGTTAGATAGCTACAATCCTATTTCCAAAAAAGTTGGGACGCTGTGCAAAATATAAATAAAAACAAAATGCAATGATGTGCAAATCATTTAAACCCTATATTTCATTTAAAATAGTACAAAGACAACATATCAAATGTTGAAACTGAGACATTTTATTGTTTTATGAAAAATATATGCCCATTTTGAATTTGATGCCAACAACACGCTCCAAAAAAGTTGGAATGGGTAAAAAAAGGCTGGTAAAGTTGTGTAATGCTAAGAAAAACACCTGATGGTTAATTGGCCAGGCAGTAACATGATTAGGTATAAAAAGAGCATCTCAGAGAGTCTTTCAGAAGTAAAGATGGGGAGGGGTTCACCACAAGATTGTGCGAGCAAATAGTGAAACAATTCAAGAATAACATGAAACATGAAATAACATTCTCAACATGAAACAGCAGAGAGCTTTCAGAGAATCTTCAGAGAAATCTCTGTATGCAAGGGTCAAAAAACAGTTCATTTGCTGGCCGCGATCTTTGGGCCCCTTGGGTGGCACTGTATTAAAAACAGACATGGTTCTGTAGTGGAAATCACTACATGGGCTCAGGAACACTTCTGAAAACCACTGTCTATGAAAACAGTTTGTCGCTGCATCCACAAATGCAAGTTAAACCTCTAAAATGCAAAGAAGAAAGCATATATAAAAAATGCTGCCACCTTCTCTGGGCCCAAGCTCATTTAAAATGGACTGAGCGGAAGTGGAAAAGTGTTCTTTGGTCCAACAAATCAAAATTTGAAATTCTTTTTGTAAATCATGCACACTGCATCCTCCAGGCTAAGGACCACTTAGTTTGTTATCAGTGCACAGTTCAAAAGCTAGTATTTATGATGGTATTGGGGTGCATTAGTGCACATGGCATGGGTGACATGCACATCTGTGAAGGCGCCATTAATGCTGAACAATATATACATGTTTTGGCAACATATGCTGCCATCCAGATGACATCTTTTTCAGGGAGGGCCTTGCTTATTTCAGCAAGAAAATGTCAAACTACATTCTGCATGTATTACAACAGCATTGCTCTGTATTAAAAGAGTCCAGGTCCTAAAGTGGCCTGCCTGCAGTCCAGACCTGTCACCACTGATAACATTTGGCACATTATGAAATGAAAAAACAGGAAAACATTTCACTTTCAAAACTACAGCAGTCAGTCTCCTCAGTTCCCAAACGCCTACAGAGTGTTGTTAAAGAGGTGATGAAACACAGTGGTAAACATGCCCCTGTCCCAACTTTTACTGTTACACAACTTTACCAGCCTTTTTTTGCCCCATCCCAACTTTTTTGGAACGTGTTGTTGGCATCAAATTCAAAATGGGCACATATTTTTCAAAGAACAATAAAATTTCTCAGTTTCAACATTTGATATGTTGTCTTTGTAGTATTTTCCTTTAAAAATATGATTTACATGATTTGCATATCATTGCATTCTATTTTCATTTACATTCTGCTCAGCATCCCATCTTTTTTGGAAATGGGGTTGTATTTCAAGAACAAATTCATACTATTTTACAATCCATTTATATTTCATGAACCAAAATAAAAGGTGTTTTCCTCCCAATATGCTTAAAAAATCTTCATGCCCAATCAAATAAGATAAATGATCACAATGCTCTATTGTCAGCTCTTTCAACAACTTTCCTTGCTGTCTTTGTGGAGAAGCCATCAGCCTGAATGAAGTGCCTGGTCATTGTGCGGTGCTGCCATTGTGTGTTTATCATTAGCATAACACAAGTGCCACTCGACTTCTCCTCTATTCATTAAGCCTAAGGGTTCTTGTCCTCCCTCTCTCGCTCTCAATGGGGCCAGAAAAGCATGGCTGCCATTTTGGATCTCTGCTCAACCCTTGTGACATGAGAAGCGCACACAGTCTGAATGACGGAGCTTACTGAGAGACCTGACTTTCTTATCCACTCAAAAGAAGAAATGCCTGCGTTTGGTTCTGGCTATATTTAAAAAAACAGGACAGTGTAAAGTGATTCATTTTTAACATCTAGGCATTCATTAGTGCCAACAATTTAAACTACCCTTTTACATAAATAACATTTTAAACAGAACTAAAAGTGTTTTAACCCTTTAATCTGACAAAGGTCTATACTTCTTCACTATCACTTCACTATCATAACTATCATAATTTATACTGTCTTCTATTGTCTTAAAGAGGTAAGGACTTGTCTATAGTAGTTGGCCTACTGTTTATTAACAATAAAAGCCTACAGTTTACACGGTTAAGCAACTTCTGTTCAATATTTTATGTTCATGTATTTATCTAAAAATAGAGGCTGCTGAATGATTTTTGCTTTAAAGTAAAAAAGTTTAATTAGTATAAAACCTATCATGTTTTTTTTTTATCTCATTTCTAAAGTTTTTTTAAGAACCATTGAAAGGTTATTTAGAGAATCAGAAGTGGTTCATTCTGTGACATCACTCCAAATAAGTTTTGGAGAACTTTGTTTTTTTTTCTTAGTGTACACAGAATATTTTTTTTGTTATTTAATTATTTTTCAAAATATCTAATATTTCTCATTTTGAAATTGTTAAAAAAAATATTATAAAACTTGTTTTAAGTAATAATCTACAGAAAGCATCTTTTGTCATTGGTTGATAGTATTGCTTGTTTCTATCTATAGTTCTTGAAAGGAGCAAAATTATTTGCATTATTTCTTGAAATATGCTAAATTGTTTGCCAATGGAATAAGACACATTCACTGGATTATTTTTCTTAAAACAAGTACAAATGTCTAGAAATAAGTTGAATAATATTATAATATTCTTACAACTATTTCAAAATGAGAAACATTAAGATGTTTACAAATTTTAAATTAAATATTAAACAGTAGATATCTAAATTTAAGTTTATTTAACATGTCAAGATCTTTTTGTGTGTGTCTCACCCCTGCTAGCATACATTTTCAGTAATGGCAAGATATTAGCAATACACATGCACACACACACACACGCAAGTAGACACACAAGATTGCATCTGTGACAACCACTTGAGACTTCATTCATCTGAACACAGCTTTTCCCCCTGTCCATTTGAGCGAAGACTTTAAATAAACACTTTGGCTCAGGATAAATAAACCAGCTCAGACCCTGCCCTGCTTCTGCCACTCATTGATCCCCTTCAAATAAACCCTTCCACCCAACTCCCACATGAACAACAGAAACTAACACTTAATTGCTTCTGCAAACAGTTGTGTTTACAAGGTCAAGTGCACCAATATGCATAAACAGCCTTTTTTTCCTTTTAGGGCTGGGGAATTCAACTCGATTTAATCATGATGAAACCTCTGCTCTTTGTTTTATAAGTCTGGAATCACTTTGCCTGCAAATGTTACCAGAAAAGCTCAAAAAGTTTGAACATCTTGTTCACTTTTGGTTATGGAGATGGCAGGTGAACTTGCCACCATATATATGCTTTTACTTTTAAAAAACTTTGGATGTAAATAAAAACAGGCTAGTATATCACTATACTATATGATCATATAGTTAACTGTTTGATACTACAGCTGTATGTCAAAACTGCTTTTACTACAAAAGTTACTTCTACAGCTATATGTAAATTGCTCTTACTTTAGGCGTTTTGAACATCAGAAACACAATGAAAAAGTAACAATTTCGTGAAGTAATGGCAAACATTCCAGCATTTTAGGGTTTGTTGCTTTTTTTTAGCAACTATATGTTTATGCTCTTATCCTTGGCAAATCTCATATTTTTTCCTGAGTCTGGAATAGATATGGTACAAAGACTACATGCTTAAAATGTGTGTGCTTAAAAGCCACTCAATGATTGCAAGGCCACATTTGCTTCAAATTATGACCTACAATGTAAGGAGAGTTATTTTAGCATTTCACTTATAAAAGGCCAATAATAGAGCTTCAAAGAAGGCAGCATTATGGACACAAAAATTAGGGACTATTCCAAGCTCCATCATTCACAATAAGAATTGTTCATGTGCTTGTGGTAGCTGTTCACAAACCTGTTACACTCAATTATTAAGGAGACTTGTAATGGCTAGTAATCACTATTAGAGACAAGACATAGTCATAATAGTCTATATAGTCTATTTCATAATAAATATTAAAAAAAAAAAACACCATAGTCAGAAAGAGAAAACATTACCATATTTCATATAGCATAGGAATATCACAAAACTACAATTGCAATTCTTGTGTACAAATCTGCTTATGTGGCATACAAAAATAGACTTCCCTTTTGCATTTCATCTTATATGGGAGCACATAAGCCCATTTAATATAACAGTTCTCTCAATCATAATAATTTAATCTCTGGTGGTTCATCTAAGTCTCTACACCATGGGTTTTCAAATCTGGCTCTGGAGTAGCCTTATCCAGCACATTTTAGACTATGTTCAAAATCTCTTACTGTAAATAGTATGCCAAAAAAGTATTCGCAGAATGATTTGGTGTTTATGAAACCGTCTCATTCATCAGATAGCAGACAAAAAGTACCCAGCTGATATACTGTTTCTTCTCCTCTGTGATAAAGACACTTGGGTCTGCATGTGTTAACAAATTGCTGTGCTGAATTTTGATAACTTGCTGATGTGAAATTTAAGCTCGCAGTTTGCAGGAATTGACCTCAGCGCAGGAATTCTGTCATCAAGAGTTCAGAGGTTACGGGGTGAAAACTTTAAGGTTGATGTGTGTCCAAAACGTTTCACATTTATGAAGCGCTACATAGGCTATGCCAAGAAATTATTATGATCTACCAGTGTGTGAAGTGCACAGCAACATATGTAACATATTTAAAAGGCCCTTCCTGGGCTGATCCAGGTATATTGCAGCAGGGAAAAGAGTCCACTAAACTATGCAGGGTAGAGGTATTCCATGGCCAGGACTGAAAACCACTGCTATACATCAAAAGGCACATTGTCAGGGGGTGTATGTTGCTAAGTTGTGGTGTTACACTTTTAAAATTTAAGGTGTCAAAAAAGGTTCTTTGGAGCAATGTCATCGAGGAACCACTTTTAATTCCATAAAGACTCTTTCAATGGATTGTTCTTTTTAAAAGCCCAGTAGAAACCACTCAATTGAAAGGTTCTTGGGGGAACCAAAAGTAATTCTTCTATAGCATCACCCCAGCACCCTTTTTGGCACCTTTATTATTCAGAGTTTATTAATAGTGAAAGTCGTGCGTTTCTTAACACTTTCAATTTTACTTCCTCCATCATTGGTTACTAAGTAGGTTGTCAGCTTTTTCACAGTGAGTTACAATATGTGCTCTAACAAGCCAACAATGTCTCCAGTCCAACAGAGATGAAGAGCAGAGAGTTTAGCCAAACTGAGCACAAAACTAGGAACTAATCCAAGCTCCATCTCCCACAACTGGGATTTGGCAAAGATTCAGTGAACGTGCGTTATAACTGATAAAGTGGCCGCAGCCACCAAAACAAAGTTCCCGCAACAAACGTGTGCCTCGTTCTCCTCCTCTACCTCGTAGTCCTCCTCCTCGTCGTCACCGTCGAGATCGTCCTCGTCGTCCGAGAAAAAGCCGCTACCCGCGTACAAAGCGTCACTCGAGCCGAAGCACAGCATCCTCATGCTGGCCTTTACGTACTCGCAGATTGTCCTTTCGGCGCCGTCGCACACGCACGTGTCCAGCGGGCGCGCTTTGGGCATGGCGCGCATGTGCGCTATCACTCGCCGGCAGCCGTCCGTGCACGCCCCCTCGCGGCCACTTCCTGTGGATCCGAGGAGCCCGCGACACTGTTGCAGGTAGTCCCGCACCGCTGCGGCGCATTGAGCGTCGCGCTCGCACTCACGGCGCGCCTCTGTGCACCCTCCGGCGCCCGCGCCACTCGTCCTCGGCAAGCACGGCTCGATGGCACGTTTGGCGCCGCTGCACGCCGCATCGCGCGCGCACTCGCAGCGCTCGAGCGCCGGCCCGTCCGCCGTCATGTTCAGCTGCACGAGCGAAGAAACGCAGTGGCTCGGGCACGAGTGCCGGCGCCCGCGTAAAACGGAGCTACACGCCTGCGCGTACTGAGCGTAAGCGTAGCGGCATTCGGGCTCAGCCTGACACTGCAGCACGGCCTGCCAGCACAGCAGAGGATGCCCAGAGTTAGGAGAGGCAGCGACAACCGTGAAAGTAACGTTGCACACCAGCACCAAGGCCACAGTCCAAGTCAGCAGCCAGTCAGTCAACAGGCACCAGCGATTTACGTTATCGCGGAAAATAATGTTAACGTTAGCCATGAATGAAGGCTTTACACAGGAGCGAGGCTGGGACCCCTGAGAAAAGCCTACATACATAATAATATTAGTTAAAAGTAGCATCTATGTTATAATCTTTGGCATGTTCCAGGGTCTAGCTCCAAACATTGAGAGATTTCTCAACTTCACGGTGCCTCTGGCTTCACAGCAAAATCAGACCGCATCTTAAACTGTTTCTTTTTCCACTGTCAACTCACATCCATGTTGTAGTGAACGTCCTGCTGCGGCTTCCCACTTTTGTTCCCCCCGCCCTTGTTTTCTACCGAGGGTTCAACTTCTCTCCCTATACGAAGTCTGTCGTCCTCCTAACATCCATCAGCTTCTGGAATCCATCGTTTTCTCCAGAGAAGGTAGCCGCTGAAGTTATTGTGGTTTGTGTTTTTGTCTTCTTTCTCCTACAGTTCGTCCCTCCGATTCCTTCGATTAAAAGTTTTCACCCCTTTCCGCCGTTTGAAGAGTAAGTTCAACCAAGTTTACTGTGTCCTCATGCAGCTCGTATCTACAAAATATCAAATTAGAAAAGTCCGTCACTCTTCACTGTAGTACGACGCGTTTGTCTCTCTCTATCAGGTTAGTCTTGTTTCACCAAATCCTTTAAGTGAGAGTGGTGCTTGCTATTGGTCCGCTGCGTTGTTGTGATTCTCTACGTCACGCGGTGGGCACGTACAGGAACGTGAGAAACAGGGTTTGGGATCTGAAAGAGGTTGGGGAAGAGCAGAGTCAAAAGGAGCAAAACTGGGCTAGGCTGGGATGCGAAAGGGTACAATGGCTTCAGATACCCTCTGATCGATCTTTTATCCACAATTATTTTTGCCTTTGTGTGGGGGGTGGGGGGCCTTCAAGGGAATCTCAAGGCAAGGTTTCTCTTATTTGGCCTCTTAATGTTTCATGTATATATATTTACTCTGCACATTATTTTACTATTAGCAAGAGCAAAGACAGGTAAGTAACTCACATGTAAAAGTAAAACTCCATACAAAAGTTGCTGCACAGCTGATGCATGGAGTTATTTCACACATTTAGCCATAGGATTCTAGCTGTCAAAACAGAAGTGCACAGTGCATTAAAATAATTTAAAAACTATATTGTTTATCCATTGTTAATTGAAATTGTATAAGATAGGTCCAATATTTCAAACTAATTAAGCGACTGAAGTTCAAGCTTTTGCTAGCATGTACAGAGGTCAAATGGTGTGATGTGGCCATAACAGAGAGCAGAGCATAACATAACGCAGGGTAAAATTTGAAATGGCTTTGTCATGTAGTTAAACGGAGTTAAGAAGAATGCGATCTTTTCCATTGCAAATCTCATCTGCTAATTTTTGATTTGTGATCAAATATAGGTTTGCCACTGTTTGACACAGTCTCTTTTCACTAATCAATTTATTTTGAGGCATATCTTTGAATGTATTTAGATTGTAAAGATTATTTGGTTAAAAGAGCACAGATTTGTTTTAAATGGTTTGTGTTTGAATTATTCCTGCCGTCCACCCAATGACTGCTGAGATAGGCTCCAGCTCCCCCTGCGACCCAGAAGGATAAGTGGCTTAGGAGATGTGTGTGTGTTTGCATTAACTTACAAGACTTTTATAGCGAATGTTACAATTAAACCTATGAGGTATGTTGTAACCTTTGCACTTGTACCACTTTCAGTTGAGTTGTTTTGTAGACCGTAGATGCTTGAAATAAATTTATTTTCATTTGTGGTAGAACGAGGTATAAAATTTGAATAATCTTGTCCACATGTTTTAAACATTATTATCAAAAATCAAAAAGGTGTCCCAATCTTTCCTACACGTAAATGTAAAATATACATGGAAATCATTAAAATCTAGTTAAATACAGAGTCTCTTTAGAACACATTTCTTGAAGTCTTTCCTCCCAGCAAGGTGTTGATTCTGCAAACAGGCCTCTCCATCACATTTGGTCTCCAGTCAATGACAAGGCAGCACAAGGGGCTCCTTTGAACCTTTCTGGTTGGTTTGACTCCCTTTAGAGCAAATCGGCAGCTGTTGCAACACATGTGGCTTCCCTCTTCCCTTCTCACCTGAAACAGATCCACACATTGCCTTCTCCACACACACCATAAGCCATTATTTACACAGGCCTGAAGGAGCCCCGCCATATTTGTCAATACTTATGGGGTCTACACACATGCACTCAAATCCACATTCATAGAGACCCATATAAAAACATGATAGCTCTTAAGGTGATAAAACCATTCTATGAGGAATCAACATAAGGTTCTGTGCTAAAAATGCTGTTTAAAATTAATATAGGAGATTTAGAGTGAGGGCGGCACGGTGGCGCAGTGGGTAGCGCTGTTGCCTCACAGCAAGAAGGGCCTGGGTTCGATTCCCGGCCGGGTGACCAGGGTCGTTTCTGTGTGGAGTTTGCATGTTCTCCCCGTGTCTGCGTGGGTTTCCTTCCACAGTCCAAAAACATGCAGTCAGGCCAATTGGACATGCTAAATTGCCCCTAGGTGTGAGTGTGTGTGTGGATGTATATGTCTGTTTGTCTGTCCTGCGATGGGCTGGCGACCTGTCCAGGGTGTATCCTGCCTTCTGCCCGATGACAGCTGGGATAGGCTCCAGCGACCCAGAAGGATAAGCGGTTTAGATGATGGATGGATGGATTTAGAGTGATAAAAGAAGAAACAGTGCTTGTCCTTGAATGTACCAACGAGAATGTGGTTTCTAAGATCAGAACCATGAATAGCAAGCAGTGAATTTAATAAATGTATTTAGGATTGGGCCTGTGAGGATGTGAAGTTTTGTGATCAAGATACATTACACAGTTACAACATCATTTTCTAAGTATGTTGTGCATAATGTAATTACTTCTAAAACACTGAACAGCTGCATAATTATTACTGCATAAATTGCATAGTAAGAAGTAGCTGATGAGAAGTCAGCCCGTTATGCCATTGTTTTATTTTATTGTCAATTTTTTTAACAGTTGCCTCTTAAATTTTTCACTATGACCAGTGTTTTTGTGGATGTTGACTGTTCCAACATCAGAAAATAGTGAAAAATATGATGCAATTTTGTGTTTCAGTTTACTTACCTTTGGCAATAATTGTGTGAACTTAACAAATATTATTTATGTAGAATTGACGCACACATTAGAGTCAATTCAGTGTATCACTTTATCAAGTGCTCTCAAGTATCATGATACTATATTTTTGTCACTCACCCATGTCTGTACTTTGCTTAGGGTTGTCAGAGAAAGAGAAAAGGGAAAAGATACATTTCATCTCTCTGCTTATCTTTTTTATTTAACAAAATGAATCAGTTTGAGAACTGAACAAACTATTCTACCACTCAGCTGCCTGTGCTACTTTGTCAGATTGGTGCACCTCAATTGCAGAAACTCTGGCACAGAGCCAAAAACTACCCCCACATTCCAGTTAGAGAGATTAGAGGACCCGTTTTGGGGGAAGGAAGGAGCAACCATTTCCCTCACAAACTGGCCCGAACATATTCACGGTTGACATTCCTCAGCAATCAGAGAGAGTGGTGCATTTACAATGTAGCTAAGGTCAGTCAGTCTAAAGCTTATGAAACAGATGTCCTGTTTCATGTTAGACGACGGTGGCACTCATAATCTTAAATTTCATGTAATTCTGCAGTCTAACCTCAGGAATGCACGTTGTCTCCACCCAGAGATCACTCTATTTTTAATCTAAAAATGACAAGACAGGAACTTAGAGTAAAGCCAAAAAAGGAATACATTCTACATTCACCTACCTCTGTAACATCATTAAAAAGTCGCTCTGGATAATAGTATCCATCAAATGCAATAAATATAAATGTACTACCGTAAAATTCTTAATGTAGGAGAAATTCTGGTAGAAGCCACGATCTTATTAGTTGTGAAAATACAATATGATCAGTATATAGAAAATTTATACTAAAACAATATCAGAGCACAAAATTATTACTACACTGACTTTTTTGTAAAGTGTCCCACATTAGCAGTGTGTAATAGAGGCTAGTTAATTATAAATAACACTTCTGCATTTAGGTTGTTCGTACAATACTGGTGCTCAATGTAAACAGAAAAAGAAAAAAATATACAGCTGAACTGTTTCAAACACTAACTGGCTGCCATCGTCTCTTCCTCCTTCCCCTTTCTACTTTATAGTTGTCTTGTCAATTATATCAGCTCCATTGTTTCACATGCAGTGGAAATGTAAACTAGGTTTATTTTTCTTTATTGTAGACACGACAGTGACATGTCCTGCATAAGTATATTTGGGCTGTTCTACCATTCTGCATTACCACAAAAAAAATAAATATGTTCTTAATTTTGACACAAAATATCACACAATATCAACTGGTAGTAGACATTTCTACCAATACTTTGTGCAAATGTAGAAAATCTGTGCTGCACTACAGACAAAGGAATAAACTGTTCAATCCGCTGCTGCTAGCCCTGCAAAATGTTGGCATTTCCTTTCCAGCAAGAGAAAAGCCTTAAAATTTCCTTGAGAAAAATCCCTTCAGCTGTTTCCCCTTGCTAGGACGGCTGACCTCTTTAGTATGGATTTGCTGTAAAGTCATTTGGGCCTACGATTTCAACTCAGTGGAAAATACAATAAAGCATTAAGGGAATAGGGATTTGTCTTGAAAACCTCTGGAAAATTTGAGGCGAAGAAGGAGAATGAGGGTTGGTAAGAGATTTTGAGAAAGATTAGGCCCTGCACACTCATTAATACGTTTCATTTTGAAACAAGAGAGAGCCTAGCATGCAGCTAAGATTCTGTCCCAATAGCGTCAGTGTTGGCCACTGGCCAGAGCAGTGCTGAGCCCAAAACCCTCCCCCTTTGCAAATAGAGTCTGAACGCTTGACCAGACAGCTGCTTTCCATCTTAATTTGCCTTAGATTGCACTAAAACAGAGAGCTAAGTATCAGTCAGGGCTTCTCACTTGCTCTCACATGAATGGGCCCCCTCTCACCCTTATAACTTAAGCTTCTTGTGTCATGCTTACAGATATATATATATATATATATATATATATATATATATATATATATATATATATATATATACACATTTCAAACTTCTCAGAGTAAGCATGCTGTTCTGGAAGTAGTTTATGCCTGCACCTTCCATAGCACTGAATAATATTACATGGACTGTTCTAGATCAGGGTTTATACTCTGAGACACTTCATAAATCTGAGCCACAATATTCTAACCAGTTCAGGGAAGTATCAAAAAAAAAGACTCCTCTTTTTGAGGAGTTTGAGGCAAATGAAACAATGAGAGATGTTCACTTGTTAGGAGTTTGAGGCAAATGAAACAATGAGAGATGTTCACTTGTTAGCTACATTAGCCTTTTAGTGCTAAACGAAG